GAGTTTCAAAAAGGTCTGAAGTCTAAAGTTTCTAATCTGTATTTGTAACTTTTGGAAGGTAAGTTCGAAACCAGTAGACTTGGCTTCAAATGCACTTTCTTCAAATGTTCCTTCCAACGTCTTTTCGCAGATGTTCTTCAATTATCTTAAAAAAAAAACTAGATGTGAAGAAGTAAAATGAGTCACAAATTTGGATACGGCGATCCAAAATCTATAAGAAACGCCTACTTTGGCTCCAAATAATTTTCCAAACTTTTTGTGGTCCTGTGCAATTTTCACTAGGTTTCCTTGTGAATTTTCCAATGTAATAATAACGCAGATAATAAAGTGCGTCTCAAGCGATCGTCACCGACGCGTCTCATGAGAGTCGAACGTGTTTCAGAATACACGGTTAATCGGCCATGATGATGATGACGATGACAACAATAATGATGACAACGATGGTGGCAGTGGTCACTGCTAATTACTTTCGCCTTTGGTAGTCGGTGATTAGCGTGATTGACGCGATCGCGCCGAGCGGAGTTTTCTTTACGACGTTTCGCCTCTTCGTTAATTCACTTCGTACCGAACTCTCAATTGGACGACCGACTCTCGATTCTCACACAAACATTGTATTTATACAATATACATATAATCCTTCCTAATGACGTATATGCGCCGCGCACATTACATTTCGGCCAGCGACTCTAATTGTAAGACAAAGCGGGGACAGTATCTACTTTGGTAAGACGACGGCCGACAGAGAGTAGTTGCACGTTCGACGCAGAGATTGCAAAAAGAAAGAAAAAAGAAGAGATATAGAGAAATGATAAAGGCAAACAGATAGAAATAGGGGGTGTGAGAGAAGATAACAGGTCAAAGAGAGAGAGAGGAGAGGAATAAAACAAGTCACGACAGACAGACAGATATCTACTGTCACAAGCGTTTACGAAAGTTACGAGGTATATACTTTCTTGACATGTACACTAGATAGACAAATACGTGTTAATATGTACATACATAAAGAGATACATATGTATGTAGTTATAAATATATTATATATATTTTACATGTAGATTGAAAGCGACACAGCTGTAAGCTTCGCGAGTGGCTACAGTATACAGTGTACAATAAAGAGATAAAGTACACAGTCCAGAGAATTACTGCATGTACCTTGTGGAGTGTGGATCGATCGGACTAATTGCGACACGAGCGCGACATCGCGACACTTTCAATGATTAACGAGGCAGATAACGAAAGTGATGCTGGAATCAATATTCGCTCGTAATCGCTTTACGTACAGCGGCTAGAAATCACTTAATTGACGACGGCTATGGTCGAGAATCGTAACGATGATGATTATGGCTTCGCGTAATACTATCTCGACTTTACCTTGACTTGCTAGAAATGAGACAGTCATGTAAACTGCAATAACGGGCAAAAATGAGCAAAGAGATACCTCGCTCGGACGATTTTAGCCATCGCTCATTGTTTATTAAAAAGTTATTCAGAAAATAAATTTTTTCCACATGGATTTTCGACTTGCCGCGCAAGGCGAGCCCCATCCCTCCAAGCACCCTTTCAAGGCAAAACTATTTCCATTGTTGCATGGTCCCACGTGGATTATTAACTTTCCGCGTATTCTAATTCTACGCATCCTCATTTTAAATTTTAATTAGAAGTAGATTTGGATTAGGTATATATCTCTCCGGATGAGGGTGCAGAAGAAAGTCTCCTCGATCCCCTCCCTCCCCCGACCAACACATTTCCTGTGGAATCATTTGTACAGTTCCGCATGGGTTTTCCCTTTTCAATTTAAATTTCTTACGAATTTCAATTTTCTAAATTACCTACACAATGCCTGTACATTAATTTTCTTTTATACATTTTATGCATCTTATACATTTGTATATATCTCTTATCTTATATTTATCTCTCTAATATCGAAACGTTTTTATTAATAACTTTTTAACAATCAACGAGTAACGGCCAAAACTTCTTAAAGGTTACTCAGCATGATGATCTTGAAAACACATGTCAAGGTTGGGGCGGGGTCCCCTTTTGTCTCATTGTTAGTTTTACCCCAGAATGAAGTACGATGAGGCACTTGCGATTATCAAAAACTGTCCCGGTGTGACCTAATTCCTGGGACCATCCGAATTACTCCAATACGCCCCGTGTACGAAAGCAGGCGCGATAACAGCGTTCAATAGGTGTAAGGGTGTACTTAGCACGCTTTTAAATCTCATCGCACCTACGAAAGGGTGTGAAGGGGAGGCGAAAATTTCGAAGGCACGGCAAGACCATTCCCACACGTCAGATGCTAGTTATTGGATCTCGCTGCACGCGAGCGCATCTAATGTGTCGCCGGGCGAAAGTATGAGACCCTCTACACGGAGAGGGAAAGAGAGACGGGGAGTAAAAAGGGCGCGAGATGGAAAATGTATGTAAGTGTGTAATCGATTTACACAGAGAAAAAGGCGGGATATGGAAAACAAGAAACGGAACAATCACGATCGAATACACCATCCGAACAGCAACTGTTAGTAACACACGAGAGCAAGTCTGATCTCGTTAAGCGGTTCCTACATGCGGTCCAACAGTTTACGCAATAATAAGAAAAAATTATAGTAAATAGTATACAATGAGATAGAAAGTGTTGTTCTTCTACTTCATTTGTGTACTATTCAACTCCAAGGGTCTAAAAATTGGTACTAAGATAAAGATGAGAGACATATTGAGAGATAAAGTTTCGAAAATGTCGATATACAATATGTTGGTAAGAAAGATACTGGTGAGGGGTATCGATGCAAAGTTGATGCGATGACTTGTTTATGCAATGGTGATGTCCGTTTGCGCGTTAATAATCCGCGCAAATTGTTGGATCGTGTACGAGCCGTTTCGCGTCAATGCTGGCAAGTTATTATAGTGGCGGCGATAGCAGCGGCAGCAGCAGCAGCGGCAGCAGCGGCAGCGATGACTGATTCATTGCTGGAGGCCCATTTTCACGCCGTGTATATGTTGTGGCCGGCAAAGTATATCGTGAGAATTTGCCCTATGTTGGATTTCTTTAATGTCAGTGGTGGTGAGACATAGTGACAGGGTAAAAACGGGCCTGAATAGTTCGCGTCGTGGTTGCATGAGCTGGCACTCGTCGGATCGTCGGGAGAATGATTTCTTCATTCAAAATTCAATGAAACCCAAAACGAGGTCTCTTTCGGCATCAGTCAGAGACGAATAGTAGACGTATCATACGTGGAAAAAGTACATAGTTTGATTTTTGCGAACAGTCATTAAAGAAAAAAGAATTTAACTTCATACTTTCGGAACTCAACGAATTTGAACGGAATGTAATTTGAGTTTAATGAAAATTCTCCTTGACGACCCAAGGCACAGTCTGAACATAGTGTAATGGTACAAGTAGTAACGTTAGTAATGTCAGCAGTATCAGTAGTGTCAGTGATGGCGATGGTGTTGTAATCGTAGTAGATCCGACCAGTAATAGTATACAACTTGCGATTGTGCAGTGGCAGTTGGCTGTCGATCTCCCTAATCGATTTTGCTAATCGAACACGAAACAATCTTCACTGTTGATGCTCTATTATGATATAAGGACAATTTCCCCCGTTAATCGTCCCCGTCTAAACCCTCTTTGGGTACGTAAAGGTGATTAGGGGGCGAAGCTAAAGCGGAACTGACCGTCGAGTCCGCCGTCCCGTTAGAAGCACAGTATTAAATCGGTAAACCGCGTCAAAGCGAGGCAATTTCAGGCGCGTGAATCCGAGCGCGGATCGATCGATATTTCGGAGACCAGAATCCAAAGCTGGACTCTACCCTGGCGCGTATAACAGGCGCCTTCGCGTCTGAACGAGGAATCCGACCTCGGGGGTTCTATCAGATTTTGCCTAACGTTTCGCGCAAAAACAGTGAGATGTTCCGCGAGAATTCCGCGTATCGTCTACGCCTGCGAGTTTCGGCGCTACCGAATTGGGACATGCTGAATATCTGACGCATACACATAAATCACAATTAACGAAAGTGGTTTGGGGATGGCGGACTTATATATTCGTAATACCTCCGGTAGGACTGAGCTTATTAACAGGACAACTTCCTTCTGCTTAGCAGCTACAACCCACGAGCGTTTCGAATACCGATTCTCCGAGATCACTGCATTAACCCTTTCGGTCGCTTTATAAACTGTCCCGGGCTCGCTAAGAAAATTTAAATGTCGAGCATAGAGTTTCTTATAGAAAAAGCATCTTGTGCTAAAATCCTTCTTTATCAGGTACCTTCGTACGCACGACCGGAAGAGTTAGTGTTTAATCGTTATACCGTCATGCGTGCATCTAATTATTATCATGAGAATAATTATGTAAGTGTATTTTAAAGACTTAGCAGGTTTTTGGAACTCTCCCACAAGTAGCAAGCATAAACAGCGTTTAGGGTAAAATCTACGGGATGCCCGAATATTGTTAAATATCGTTGACTAGTTTTGATATAAAACACACAAAGAAAATGCAAGAAACTGAACGAAAAGTATCTACGCAACCCTCACACAAATCAAGTAAACCTTAGTTTCAAATATCTATTGTTTTTTTTTACAAGAAGCGGCCTAGCTTCTCAAATACATAAAAAAAATTCAACGAAGTAAAGAGATCTCGTTTTACAATGAAAATAAAAATAAATTTGCTATTGAACGCCAGATTAATTTCACTCGATGGAATTAATGTATCACTTGCTTGCGATAAAAAAAAATTAAGTAAAATCGCAGAATACATGAATCACTTATGCGTACTTTTCCGCAAGTTTCCCGTTCGAGACTCCGTTACGTTATATACGTTGGGTATGTGTGTCATATGCCTGTGAGAAGGACACTCGCGGATAACGCTTGCGGATGATAGACAGTGTGTCAAATTGTAAGACGTGCGTGATTATACGACAACGTGTAATTCCCTCGTTCCTTCACATCCTATCCTCATTTTCGGCCGTTACTTAATTTCTAACAAGCGGAATTCACTCACCTCCCTGGTCGTCGAGTGCGACCAGAGTGCGGATGCCGGCCTCCTTGCTCTATGACAGACAGAGGCAGCACAACACAGACAACCACCACCAGTGTTAGAGAGCGAAAGATAGAGATAGAGAGAGAAAGAGAGAGAAAGATAGAAAGAAAGAGCCGAATCTCTCTTCATTCTTCCTTCGTATCTTTCTTTTAGTAAGTATATAGTATATAGTAATATTAGTGGTATATTAGTATAGTAGTTATATATTTAGATATATAGACAAAGGTATATGTAATGGACAAATCGGTGATGGATATTGGGCAAGCAAGACAAGAGGTGGATATTGTGGCCGGATATGTTGAGGTGGTGGCGCGCGTAAAGAGTGGGACAGAGTGACAAGTATTTCGAGTCCTCTCTCGTTTATTAGTTTTTTTTTCTAAGAGATTTTTCTTTTCTGAATCGTTTTCCTTTGTTCCTTGTTCTTTCTAACACAAACGACGTCGCCCTTAGGCTCGCCTTGGCGTACCATCAATGTATATTTACGTATTTATATACATATATATACACATATCCATACACGTATATATATACATATATATATCGCATATGTTGTACGCGATACCTGCCCGCGACGCAGAGACAGGTGGGCAGAGACGGACGGGCAAGAACAATTGAAAGAGTATGAGCCCGACCGGCAGGTAGCGTCAAACGCGGTACGACGGTACGAACGTGTCGGCATGTTGTTGCTTGTTGTTGTTGATTTGTTGATGTTATTGTTGTTCTTGATGTTGTATCGGTCAATGGCGATGTTGTTATTGTTGATGTTGCTGTTGTTGTTGTTCATGTTGTAGTTGTAGATGTTGTTCCTGTTGCTATAATATTGCTGTAATTGTCGTCGCCGTTGTTGTGCGTTGTTTATTAATTTTTGTTTTCACACGGTGGATATCTTCCTTCTGACAAGGCTCGTGTTTTTTTTTCGTTCGGTCTTTGTTTCTTTTTATTGTTTAGTATTTTATTTGGGGGGCGTTGCCTTTTGTGATACTCTATGAGTTTCGGCGGAACAGGCTCGATCCCTCGATCGTCGTCGATCATCCCTGCGCTCTTCTCGCGTTTCGAGAGCAGAAGAGAGATCGAGCGCGATCGAGAAGATCCACGTCTGCAGTGTTTCTTTTTTTCTGGGCGATAGGTGGGAATTTCTTGGACACTCACAATCAGTAACGAAAAGAACGATACATAAAGATACATCACAAGGTACAGAATACGCCTTTATTGAGTGCGATCCAATGCACAAGGCAGGTCATAAACCCCGACTTCTTTGAGTCATGAATATGCGGCGCCGGCATGATCGGTTAAATCGATTTAAAAAAAAGAAAGAAAATTCGTCCATAAAGATGTTTATCATGATTGAACTTTGTCAAATCTAAATCTAAAACTAAAGATATAGAAATAAAATAATATCTTAATTTTTTAACAGAAATTTTTTAGATTAAATGAAACAACAAAATAAAATGTAGAAATATAAGTGACAGAGTATCTCGTAGGAATATAAATAGAACTGGTTTAAAATTTAATTTACCACATTAAAACAATGAATAATAAACAATTGATATCAACGTTAATGGTGACATTATACGTGACGATTGTAATATATAAAATAATTTAATATAAAACTCATCGAGACAAATTTCGACGAGAAATCCTGATGCGAGAAACTTCAGGACTCAAAGGGTTGCAAATAGCTGGATAAGTGCAAAGTAAAACACACACACACACGCGTAATTGGAGTGGAAGAAGGTGGGAGGGTGAATGAAAGGGTAGCGAATGAGTGAATGAGCGAGTGAATGAAACGATCGATGAATCAAGGAGGAGAAAAGAATAAGCGACTATATATTTTTATACATATTTAACGATTTTTTTTAATATACTTATAACAACACGTTTAATTATAGGTCATATTTGAGCATTGCTACAAGCGGATGTTTGATTCTATAAAAATTAATTCATTTATTTGTTAATCATTTAATTCATAATTTATAATTAATTACTTAAGTTATTGAACGCGATTGAGTAAAAAGTATCCATTGGATAGAACTCGAACAAATAGATTTAGATTGACATGCCGTTAAATAGAGGTAATATTACGAGAATTATGCAAGAATTGATTTTCCAACGAGTTCTTACTTTTTAATATTTTTTTGCTCCTTTCCTCATTCGACTTGAGGCATAAGCGTGCATATCAATATTTTGAATAATATCAACGGGTAATGATAAAAGTGCATAAAAATTAAGGAACCGTGAAGACTGAGAAGTTGGCGAGATCGAAATGACGAACGTATTAAATATAAATAAATGAAGAGAAACAGAAGAATTGGAAATAAAGGAATTAAGGGACTAGAGAAGTTTGAAATGTCGAACATCGGCTTGCGTTTAATTGTTAACAAAGTCGCGATTGAATATAGAACTTTTTCATTTTTTAGGATATTCAGTACATTATAAAGTACAAAAATCCACTCATTGTCAGAGTCGTTCTCAAGTCAAGAATCTTAACGTTTTAATGTAATGAAGCAAACAGTTGCATTTATGGTTTTACGATTCCGGTAAAATAAATAACAGCTTTGGGAAATTTCAAGAATATTTCGTCTTTTTAGAAATTATACTTGAAAAATTGAAAATAAATATAAAATTAACTACATGGCATCTAAAAAACGAAAAAATTTTACAAATTCGGCTTATTTGTTATTATAAAATTGTAACAATATTTTTTACTTTGATTTCAGATATAATTTATGCACAATAGTGTGTTTTACGACTCCTGTATAAATTTCAAATTGATATCTCTCGTGGTTCTGCAGATATTATATAAAACCATAAATATGAAGACAGTTTGCTTCGTTATATTAGACTAGAATGTTAAAATTCTTGACTTAGATATGACTCTGAGTGGATTTTTGTATTTTATAATGTTGTATTTAATATACTGAAAAATAAAAAGTTCTACATTCATTCATGGCTTTGTTATTAACAATCGCAAGCCAATTTTTGACATTGTAAACCTCTCTGGACTCATTAAAAATTTTTCTGTTTATTAAATTTATTTAATTTCTTGTACTCAATGTGTTGTATAAATCACATTTCTAGAATGCTATTTGAAAAAATTAAAATATTATAAAAATAAAATTATTTTTGTCAGTTGATGACAAAAATAAACTCGAGTAAGACATTCGAGTATAAAAAATTAAGCAAATACCTCTCAAATATCTTTCAAGTATTGGGATGTCCAAAAAAATTTACATTAACCGATATTTTACTTTTATTATAACTCAGTTGTCTCCTTCTTAGCAAAGATTTTATATTATTAAACTAATTAGTGTAGTATATTAAAAATCAGCAAAATATAAGCGAATATAATATATTTAAGCGAGATTTAAGACAAGATTTTAATTAATCTACACCTTTCCCCAATATTTTTCATTAAATACAAAATAAGATTTGTAAATTGGAATTAGAATGCATTCGTAAAAACTACACAAGAGTTTCGACTTTATGAATACTTTCTGACTAACAACAAGCGCTATGTCAATTACTCAGATAAATTTTTAATAACTCTTATTCATATGATAATTTATTTTTCCATGATTCTTTCTTAATTAACGTTGTAAATTATTGCTCAAATAAAATTCTAACTTCGAAAAAAGACGGATTTGCTTACAGACTCCTTTGTAAACATTTTTTGAGACAGCCCGTGTATCAATAGAAAATGTGTTTGTTCTATATGACAGTGAATGTATGTGCATTGAATATTGATTTTGTGAGCTGTAATAACCGCTTCTAAAAAGAACGACAGCACGATGCACTGAAGAGGGAAAGTGAATAGTGGCTTGCAGAGAGGAAAAAGTTGAACGTACTCACACGTACACACACACACACACACAGACAGCTAACAGCCAAAGCGGGCAGGCAACAAGATTTTGTCAATCGAAAGACAAATGACAACGACAATAGTATATACTCAAAATTTACATATCATATTTTGTCTTGTGCTAATAATCTATACAAAAAATTTGAAGTTTCCTTTAAAATGTGATAACATTTTTCTTAATTTATCTGGCACACATGTCGAGCTTGTAATATCTTGACGTCAGCAAATAAAAAATGTTACAAGTACAGTTAATCAAGAAAAAATTTTTTAAGTCAAGTTAAAATGAACGTATTTGGTTATACGGAAAAGAATATAGAGTCATTAGTATTTCTAGTAAAATAGCAGAAAAGGCGGGGGCAGCTCCGATATCAATGACCTTGATATATGTTTCAAGGTCACCTTCCTAAGTGACCTTCGAGAGATTTTAGTCGCCGCTCACGGTTTGTTAGAGAATTATTTACAAAAAAAGTTCGAAGAACGTGTAGAAATACGATGAACAGGGAAGGGCAGAAAAATTAGTCCACCCTACACCGACCCCTGCTTTCGGGGCAAAACTAGTTCATGCGATATACAATTCTACATGGGTTCGTAACTTTTTCTGTTCATACATGTGTCTACATAAATATTAATATATTAAGCCCTAAACATTAATTTTAAGCGGTATACTTTTCAAACTTTTTGTAAATAACTTTTTAACAAACAGTGAGCGACGGCTAAAACTTCTTGAAAGTCACTCATCAGAAGACTTTGACAACATATGTCAGGGTCAAGGTTATTGGTGCTGCTTCCCCTTTTCTGCACTTTAACCGTATTTCTTTACATTATGAAATAAAGAATCTTTATTCTTTCAACATTTTAACGTTATGATTGTCAAAACAATCTTACCGTAATTATTTTTCCATTCCATTCCTGTAAACATTTCTACGATCGCTCCCAAAGAAACCAATAATTTTAATACTGGTTATAAAAGTCAGAAGTTTTCATTTATTCCCAGACAGATTTTTATTTGCGAGTGAAGATATTGGTACCGCGCTGAACTTGAGCACGGTCATCGACTGTTCTTCCGATCCTCAAAATCTTGTTCATTGTTAAAGTGAGCAGGCGATCGAACAAGCAAGTATAGATATTGCGGGTCAGGTAAGTGAAAGCAC